AATTAATTTTAATGTATTAAATAATAAATATTAACTATTTTATTAATTATTAATTATTTTTAATAATAAAATTAAATAAAATCTATTTTTTAACACAGTATTTTAGTGGTATTAACAAAAGAATTGCCGCCATAACCGCATCCGGTTTATTGGTTCTCAGACCTACCCTCATTAGTTTTATGCCTTTTTGGATACACCAATCAAACTTTTAATGTTTGGTTCAAGTTTGGCTGAATGCTTGTTGATTCTACAAATGAAATGGCCCAGCATCTTATTTTAACCTTATAAGTCACATGTTGGTTTAGTTACTGGCCACTAATAACTAATAATTATATAATATTATTCATAATTAAATTTTTTTTTTTGAAACAAATTCGCATGGGGTTGAATTCGAACCATTGCTTTGGAGCGAGGGAATGCACTTATACATGACTTCACGTCATTAAATCTAAAGGTCCAAATGCATTTAAATATATTTTTTTATTTGATTGTGAAACACAAAAACACATATTGTTATTTATAATTTAAATATTTATACTTATTTAATTAAAAAATAATTATTAATTATTTTTAACAATTAAATTGACATACCTAATTTTATTTTAATCCTTTTTCCTTTTAAATGGATTTGTTTATCGTTAACTATATAAATGATGTGTTCTTTGATTGGGAAACTTGGTCAAAGAAAGAATAATTGTGTTTATTGTGGGAAAGGAGAAGTTGGGGATCAGATCAAAGGGGCATCATCAGGCATTCATTTTACATTGGATAAGAATTTCAGGGTTGGAACTTGGAAGGCTTTCTCCTATTTGGTTGTGTCAAGAATTGTCTTGAGGCTGGGTTAGGGTCTGATGTGAAAAACATAGGGTTGGACATTTCCATGGGGATGCAACATGAGAAAGGGAGAGCAAGGTGCTATTTCATTTGTTTCAGCTGTCAATTTTATGGATAGTAGGGTTAAGGTATTATAGTTTGTTGTCATGGCCACCCACCATGTTGGAGATCTTCGAAATCACTGTCACGTTAACGGTGCGATTGAACCCACACCTTCGAAACTACCATGAAAAAACTTTTACAAAAGGTTTGTAGCTACTCACCCACGAGTCCGTTCTCTCGTAAATGGTATCTGTCGACTAACGAGTTGTTGGATCAAGTGATAAGTGACTTGTTTTAGTTTAAATAAGATTTTGAGTTTGAGATTTTGTGTACACAACAGTTTTTGTTGGGAGACTCACCCACCACTTTTAAGTGTGCGACGTGAATCAAGTCCAGATTAATTGAAACAAAACCCAAATATTGAGCGAGAAAAAAAAAAAAAAAA